TCGATGTTTCTCTCTCATCGATGTTTCTAACTCTCTATCCCTCTCCCTTCCTCTCTCTAAAAAATCAATAAAATATATTTTTTAAAAACAACAACAACAACAAAACAGACCTAGGATCTGGATATACTGTCCGGGCCAGGGAGGGGGCAAGCATGGTGGATGGCATTAGGCTCACGGCATCCCGTCCCTATGAGAAGAGTTCAGAGCAGCAGGTATTGGGGCTGCAGCAGAGAGAAGAGGGCAGGGCCTGGGGTCCACAGGGGAGCATGTGGGGTCCACAGAGCAGCCTCGGGGGAAGGAGGGGGAGGCAGGGCAGAGACTAGTCCACGTCCCCGGTGAGACGGTGAGAGTCTTACCCAGAGACGATGCAAGGGCCAAGTTCTCCAGCATCACCTCCTGGTACAGGCCTCTCTGAGCCTCGTCCAGGAGCCGCCACTCCCGCCGGGAAAAGTACACGGCCACGTCGTCAAAGGTCACGGGGTCCTGTCGAGATGGGGACAGAGGAAAAGGGAACAGAGTGTGAAACATGGCGGACAACGTGGACCAGCAACAAACTACGAAAACTGTAGAAGAGCCCCTGGATCTTATCAGGCTCAGCCTGGATGAGCGAATTCATGTGAACACTGGTGGCCCGGTGCATGAAATTTGTGCACTCAGGGGTCTCCCCGCCCATCCCCACTGCTGCGCACACAGCCTGCTGATTGGTCCTTATGTGAGGGCGGCCCGGCCAATTTGCATATTACCCTATTATTAGTATAGATAGATGAGAAATGACAGAGAGCTTTGAGGTAGATGACATGCTTATGATCATCATTTAAATATGACATTGGGAGCCCTGACCAGTTTGGCTCAGTGGCTAGAGCGTTCGCCTGTGGACTGAAGGGTCCTGGGTTCGATTTCAGCCAAGGGCATGTCCCTTGGTTGCGGGCACATCCCCAGTGGGGGGTGTGCAGGAGGCAGCTGATTGATGTTTCTCTCTCATCGATGTTTCTAACTCTCTATCCCTCTCCCTTCCTCTCTGTAAAATATCAATAAAATATATTTAAAAAAAAAAAGAAAGAAAGAAATGGCCAAGCCCTGGCCGGTGTGGCTCAGTGGATGGAGTGTCAGCCTGCGGACTGAAGGGTCCCGGGTTCGATTCCGGCCAACGGCACATGCCCGGGTTGCAGATTAGATCCCCAGTGGGGGGCGTGCAGGAGGCAGGAGGCAGCAATGGATGATTCTCTCTCATCATTGATGTTTCTCTCTCTCCCTCTCCTTCCTCTCTGAAATCAATAAAAATACATTTTAAAAAAAGAAAAGAAATGGCCAAGGATCCTTCTGCTCCGGAAATGAGTTTATTTGCGCGGAACTCACAAACCCTCAAGCTAAGTGGCATTTTAATTTTTTCTCCAACCCTTCCAATCAATGTGCTCCCCAAAACGCAGCCCTCTTTTCTAGGAGTTGCTTTGCTCCATTGCTTTTTTACCTCAGAGAATTTCTGATTTTTAAAAAAATTTAAATTAAATTTGATGTTTTCTTAGGAAAAAAAAAAAAAAGATGGGGACAGAGGAAACCATACACTTTGTCTTTATGAAACTCTCCCAGCCCATCCCCTCTCACACCTCCCTCCAGAGCGGCCTCCCTCTGAGGGGACCCC